CGCTCGGCAAAAAATATTCACGAATAACATGGGGAGAAAAAAAATTCCTCGATATTCCTCCACGCCCCCTTCCACCTCGGAAAGACGAGACAAGGCACGAAACGTTCGTTGCTCGACGACTATTATTCCACTCTCGAATATTGTTCCACCATTGGTGGATAAAGTTGGAAAACGCGGCTCCAAGGATAACGAAATGGGACGATGAAACGAGGTAACACGATCGTCCCAATAGGATTTTGGAAGGGAGAAACCGATGCCGTTCGGACGAATAATGAAGCGGCATGGGGGGAGGGAAGAAGAAAATAACGAGTGGACGGAGAATATTCGATCGATCTCGAGGCGAATTACGAAATGAAATAAAAATGGGACGAAGTCGAAATGAAAATCTTGAAAAGAGCGTCGGTCGAACGTGACGAGAATGAAAGGCTGGAAAGGGTTGGATAAGCTTTTCTTCGATTTTTTTTTTTTTGTGAAAAATCGTTTGGATTAAACTCCTGGAATAAATCTCTCAGTTCTCTCTTTCACTATCTCCCTCTCTCTCTGTTCCTCTTCCCACAGCGTCGGTTTGTCGGGTTTATCAGTGAGAAACAGGTGTCTGGATGATAATTCGATTCGAAGTGGAGGTTGAATCGTGTGTAAAAATATTGAAATTTAAAATCGGGTGAATGTGTCTGCCCAATAACTGAATCTTCTATTTACGAATTTCACGTCCGTTTCCAATTTAACGTGTAAATTGCATAGCACGATGCGTAAACGTCGTCGAATCATCATTATTTCGTATCTGAAAATAATGAAATTAAAAAAAAACAAAAAATTGGATAAAAATCTATATAGTCGATCGATAATCGGAAATATTGAAATATTTAAAACAGAAATTGGACGAATAGATTCTTTCGTTAACTATTAAATTCAATTTGCAATTTCGACGGATAATGATAACGCTTCGTATCATGATTCATAAATACGGTCGAATCGCAAAATATTGGAATTTAAAATAGAAATTTGGTAATAGTAATCGAAAGCTTAATTTTCTCTATTTACAAATTTCACACTATTTCCAAATTTAATCATAACGATAACCATGCAATCACAATAACTTATATATATTTCGTTCTAAATATTCTAAAATATCTGAAATATCTAATAATAATCTCGTATCACACATTCGTTAAAATATTTAAATTGGAAATAGAGACGGGATGAATTGAAATCCATTCGTTTCGCAATATATCGAGATAATACGTAAACGTCATCGAAACGTCATCAAACAAATGAAAAATCGATCGTGGACGATTGTTCTTCCCTTGTTTCATTCCTCCCCATCCAATAAAAATACCTGGAAATTACGGGCAAATATCGGCGTGATACCAAACGTAACGAAGCTCGAACCGCCATCGAATTAGAGGAGGACCGATCGAAGCGAAAAGTGGATCGATACCGATTATCGGCCGAGGCCAGTCGCGTCCATCTGCACTTTCCAGGGCCGTGTGTCGATGACACGAAAACGATCGACGCTGCCCCCTTGCTGGTTGGCCACGATCGATAACGAGTCTTCGAATTCACGAATGCTCGAGAGCACACGTGGTTAAGCTAATCGTAACGTGTTCGCCGATATTACGCGCCGCCACTGTGCAACCGAATTATTTTATCGCGCTTCCGGGGCCACGGACGGCCCCTTATTTGCATCGAACTCGATGAATCCGTGGAAACCATGCCGGGGAATGGAATTCCCGTTTGCGACGATAAGGATGTAATTGCAATTCCGCTAATTTTCGAAAGATCGATGGAAATTGTGGAAAAGTAGAAGGATTTGATTCTTTTTTCATATCTCTTTACCAACGATAATTAAGAATCATTTTCATTGATTAATTATTGCAATGAGTTAATTTAAATAAATCTAATTTTGAACGAACGAAATTTTGTAATGGGAATACATACTCGTAATGTGAATCTTTTCCACATTGAAAATTCTCCTTTCGACAATATAACTTCTAACCTAATTGAGTCATGCGCATGCGCATACTAATATAATCTTTTCCATGTTGAAAGAAAGTAGATTTATCTGAAAAGGAATCGCAGAAAAAGATCATTGTTAAATCGAATATATCGCTATAATCTAACCTAATTGAGTCACGTGCATCTTCATAATGTTGAAACTTCTGGATTAAATATAGAATTATCTGGAAAGAATTTCTATGTTATTGTTAATTCGAATATATAGCCGTAATATCATATACCATAACCTAACCTAATTGGATGTAAATTTTATAATAAGAGTAATATATATACATATATTCGTGATGTACTTTTTTTCATGTTAAAATTCTGGATTAAATAGAGATTTGTTTGAAAAATGGAAGCACAGAAAGATCTCTTGTATCATTGTTGATTCGAATATATCGTCTCAACGAACCAGTTTATCCGCTTTAATGCGAGCAACACGTTTAAACGATCTCCGCAAAATCGTAGAATTCCTTTTGTCGCAACCGCGGTTTCGCCAGAAACCCCTTATCGTGAATCGGATTAAGCAAATCCGTTTTTTCTCGACCTCGAGAAATTCTCTCATTACACAACTAGTACAAAGCAGTGGGTAGCATGGTCAAAATGGAAATTCAAATAAAGATCGAATTTTTCTTGGAATTAATTTTACATTTTCTTTGTATTCTTATCAAGATATCACAGATTGTTTATTGTAGAAGAATGCATTAGAAGATGGGTCATGTTTCTTGTCTAAATCAATCTTCTTTTCAGTATTGTTCAGAAGGAATTTCTCCTCTCGAGAATATGTTCCTCAGAAGTATCTGCTTCGAATACAGAAAGATTTTTATTCCTTTTTTTTTTTTTTCCTTTTTCATTCTTCCTCTTTTCCATTTTACGATTTGTCTCTATCGTAGCGACAGAAATTTCTTTCTCTCTTTTACTTACAACACGACAAGAAAGATCTTGCTACGGTATAGAAAGATTTATTGAAAACATTTTATTTGAAGAATTCATCTTCTTTTTTTAGTCAGGATCTCAATAATTAATTTTTTGCATCCTCTTATTCAAAGATTGTAACTGAAAATTTTCTGGAAAAGTACCATACCTGTGTGCTTTTTTCCAAAAATTTTAGCAATTTTATTTAATTCATTTATTTTTGTTGCATATTTTTTTTTGTGAATTTATTTTTTTTTTTTT